GTTGGCCCGCCGAATCCGCGGAGAACGAGCATAAGTGCACTTCGCTTCAAATCAAAAACGGCTCTTTTAGGAGCCACCACATGAATAAAAGCAATGACCAATTGTATGAGCTTCTACTAACCAAATTCTCTGGAGTAAATATCATTAGCAACTCAAAATATGTTAACACGTTTACTAAGGGCGCGACTTTTGCGGCAAGTTCATTTATAGACATTTTCTGATTTAACACCCTGCACAGTATATGAAAACAATGGTTATTTCGCTCCCTATATAACCAAAGCGTACTAACTTTTTATCACTCCTCGTAGTCATGATTTATTTTAAAAAAATGTCACACTGAACATAAACGCTTTAATGAGCCAGTGTTTTTTTTTTCTTTTCAATTTACCAACGGTAACTGCTCGATCACATATTGTCTGCCCAAACGCTGATTTATTCCAGAAACGTGATCCATATACAGTAGATCTCCGGAGTTCAAAGCTTTTCTTAGCAGCCTACCTACTCGACGCGCTAGATTTTAATGCAAATATATGCAAGTGGTGATTAAATGAGCTTCGCCCTTTGATTTTGGCGTTAGTATTATGCAAATCATCGGGGCTAACTGAAATGTTTCGCCATTTTTCCAATCGGTTTCTTAATTAAAAACTTAACTCAGATGTCTCATAAAATATAAGTTTACAATATAAACTACATTTTCTTACTAGAGAAATTTAGCACAGGTCTTATCGAGGTCAACTATGAAATGGCGGACGCTGTTGTTTTGTTCTTCGTGTTCAAATTTCGAGACTGCCATGCCTTTGAATATGCAACGAAAAGCCCATTGCTCCAAATGCTATAAAAATCTAGGCTACATTCCTAACGTAATTTTATGATTTATAAAAACTTTAAGTTAGTTAGACAATAAGCCCGCGCCTTCGTATTTCTTTGCGTCATAAACTCTCAATCGATCGACAATTGACTGGACTGTTTACATCTAGTCTATTACTGCTCTTACTTCTGAACTTCACATATCTCACGTATAAAAAACCTACTGCAGGTTAAGTAAGAATATTACATCGCCAACTGGTTTTGATGTTTTGCTTTGTGAATAATCCATTGAAATCATATTTTAAGAATACTCTCAAAGTTGACTCCGATCTTGCCCTATGATCGAGAGCGCGCGACCAATTCACGCAAAAACTGGTTTGGCTGATCCGTAACGAAGCAAATCCAAAAAAACTATGCACAGAAACTTGCTCAATCGCTGTTAATTTTTAAAAAGTTTCCTACAAAAGTAAGACCTATTTTCGAGTCATTTTCTTCAGTCGGGACATTTAACATTATACCATTCGTCCAGGTGAGTCACATATCACAAATGGCGGATGTTGTAGTTTTGTTCTTCTTGTTTGAGTTTAGAGGCCGTTCTGCCTTCGAATATGCATCAAAATGTTCATTTTCTCAAACAATTACAAAGTTAGGGACTTCTTCTTTCATATGATATTTAATATACTATTGAAAAGTGACTCAAACAAAACTCCTTTCATCATTCATTCAAAGTTTTCGTTTGAACCTTCATGCTTTCTGCACTTTTGACCCTAAAAATTCATTCTTTATTTTAGTAAATCAAACTTTTCATTACACCTTCATTTTATGAGATAACTTAGCTATGCTCTTTATGGCTAGAAAATATCTGATGTTATTTAATTAGCTCGTTATGAACCGAAATGTCAAACAAACTAACACAGTTTGGGCGCCGCCATTTTGCGACAACTCTGTTTCCTCGGTGGTCCGTACACGAAGAATAATATTACCTTGCGCGCGCTCTTAGCAATCATTATTGCTCCTAGTTCCGAAAGTTCTACAGCAAACAACATGTCCGAGGCAAAGTCCCCCGCTAAAAAGAAGCCAGCTGCGCCCAAAAAGCCAGCTGAGCATCCACCTTATGCCGACATGATTAAAGCTGCTATCTTAGCGTTGAAAGAGCGAAGTGGCTCTTCCCGCCAAGCTATCGAGAAGTACATCAAGGCCAACTACAAGGTTGGTGAGGTCGGCTCGCACTTGAAGATGGCTTTGAAGAGGGGTGTTACTAGTGGCAAGCTTGTCCACACCAAGGGAGTTGGTGCTTCTGGTTCCTTCAAGGTGGCCAAGGAGGAAAAGAAGGAGAAGAAGCCGAAGAAGAAGCCAGCTGCAAAGAAGAAGCCTGCTGCCAAACCAAAGAAGCCCGCCGCCAAGAAGAAAGCAAAGAAACCAGCGGCCAAAAAGCCAGCAGCAAAGAAATCCGCCGCTAAGAAGCCAGCAGCGAAAAAACCCGCTGCTAAAAAACCAGCAGCAAAGAAACCCGCGGCCAAAAAACCCGCAGCGAAGAAGCCTGCAGCTAAAAAGCCCGTCAAGAAAGCAGCGAAGAAATCACCAAAGAAGGCGGCCAAGAAATAAGGAGGATATCAA